ATTTTGATTCCTTTTGTTGCAGTTCTATAGCAGTCTCAAAGCTTGAACCAGAACTCCAAGAAAAGATAAAGAAGAGGGGAGGACCTCCAATGGAATATGTCTACTTCAACAAAGGGCTTTGAAGAAACTTCAATATTAATATTATTTATTGAAAATTAATCAAGATTTTTTATTAGCCCTTTTGGAATTTTGAAATGGTACTATTAGTTTAGGGGATTGTGAGGATTCATAGGCTCAGGAAAACAAATATTAACTCAATTTGGTATTTACAAATTGCTGTCCTTAAGACTGTAGGACTGCCAATGAAATCTGTTTGCTATAATAAAAAAAAGTGTCATAATTGCAATAATATTGTGAATTGTTAAAGACAGCTAGGATTGTTTGATGGAATTTGAGGCCCTGGTTGAGTAAAATTCAGAAAAGTGACATAGCCTGGAAAAAGCAATACTTGACTAGATGAGAGGGCAACAACAACATGCAGATGGCTTAAAGTTTGACAGGGACATAACTTACTCCTCAAAATGTGAAAAGAGCATATTTGAAATTCACACTAGGGACATAAATATCCCCCTCCCTCCCCCTAAGAGGGCCTCAATTGCCAGAGGGACATTTTGGTCGTTACAATAATCCAAAACAAACTGATAGGTTTAAAATAATAATCTAAAAATGGCCATAGGGGCTTATCATTGCAATAAATGTTATTATAATCATCTTTGGTAACCAAACCAAATTGTTGGGTTATAATAATCCTGATATTGACATAGCTATTGTACTGATAGTGATAATTCTTAAGGGGTATAATACATGACACTGTGTGCTTCTTAGTGACTTGTGGATCTCTATTTCACCGTTAACTCAAGGAAAAATATTATTATTTCAATATATGGCTTTTCTCATATTTCACTCACCCAATTTACGTGTAATAGTATTTGAATTATCTGGAACGAAATTTTACGGTGTTTAAAGTCGTATTGGAGACTAAATAGTCATTCACTGGTAGAATTACATATTACTTGACATAATATACTGTTTTCTTAATCATAGTAGTGTGATAATGGTGATCAATCTCAGTGCTGACATAATAGTTCCCTATAGATACTGGTATATTAAGTTATTAATTCTGGTGTGTTTTAAATTAAAAGTCTTTTTATTTTTTTAAACAGGTTTTGTCTAGTGGTGTAAATTTTCATGTGTTGGAAAATCCTATAGCTAGGTGATTAGGGATTCCACACTGATTTAACCTAAGATTTTAGCAAAAAATAACGAAAAATTCCAACCCTCCAAGTTAAAGTTTTTGCTTGGTTGCCATTTGGCAACCAATTCTTTTGGTTGAGGGAAATGTTTTTACAAATCAAGTCACCAGCTTCAAAATTTTAGGCACCATAACGATTAAAATAGTCGCAACTTGGAGGGTTGAATTCCAGAGTCTGTGCCGAATGTTTTTTTGTTTTTGTTTTTTTTTTCATCATAAGGGGAAAGACTACAGCTACGTTGTGGAAGGATTGGGACCAAGCAAGAGTGATCACCCATTAATCCCTTTATCATCCCCAACAGTACATATTGCCACTGAGCCATTACAGAAATCTGGAATGTGTCAGGACTGAATAGGAATGTTCCATTGAAGTCTCCCAACTTATGTTATGTTGCAGTCCTTGATGACTGTGATGTCTATGATTTCCAGTTGTGGAGGGCAAATATAATAGAGAATAATGTTCAAATAAACTTTAATAAAAGCACATGCTTTTAACTTAGAATATACAAGAATTATGGGTTTGATATTGCCATGCATGCAGTCCCGGGGGGGGGGGGGGG